CGAGGCTTGAGTCACAGCTCCATGAAAACCTGTGTTCAAATCCCAGTTCCCGCGTGAAAGGCCGGGTGTGATGGCCCTCGCTGAACCTGGAGTTCTCCTGTGAGGCTAAGCGAGCTGACCACTACTGATCCTTAGGAATCCAATTACCACTTCCTCAAGGGGAAAAAAAAAAAAAGTGAAAGAAGACTTCTCCATACAGGGTGACTGCACACCCGCTCTCACACGCACGTGCACACCACAGAGCCATACAGCTAAAAAAAAACAAATAGGTGAAAAGAAATGAAGGCCCAGCTGGGCACCGGGGAGATACCACTGGACAGGAGGCTGCAGTACACAGGGTCCGGGTTGGAATCCCAGCCCCCATTTCAGGCAGCTCACAGGGCATCCAACGCCCTCTTCTGGACTCGACAGTCACTGCACTCAGGGGCACATGCACAGTTAAAAATGGTAACCGTAAACCTGGCTGTGGCGGTGCAAACCTTTAATCCCAACACTCGGGAGGCAGGCGGATCTCTGAGTTCAAGGCCAGCCTGGTCTACAGAGTGAGTTCCAGGACAGCCAGGTCTACACAGAGAGACCCTGAGATTAGAAGCGTGTGCCGCCACCTCCTGGCAAATATGTGTGTACATATGTATGTGTATATATACATACATATACATGTATAGATAGACCTGGCTGTTTTTAAAAGTCCTTAGAAGACAGTTTCCCTCCTTGAGGTTCAATATTTGGTGTCTCACTCTTGCCTAAGCCAAGAGGGGAAAAAAGAAAAAAGGAAAGATGCATCCTTCCCGCTCTTGGCTGACTTCTGGTCATGTAACAACCGGAGAATACTGGGAAATGTAGTCCACTCTGAAAAGCCACATAACATGGAAATTGGAAGACGGAGGTCGCTGGCAGGAAGTGCTGTTGTCAGGCTGTAATGATGTTAGTGAGCCAGAGAGCTGTTTTCGTGGGGAAAGCGTTTGCCGCACACACGGACACACTTGAGTCTGAATCGCTAAACTACACAAAAAGCCAGGTGTGGCGGCTCCTCCGTTCTCTGCTCCTGACCACATGGACGCAGGGACACGTTTCCACATCAGTTGCCGCACAGAACACCATGAGCACCCAGAATAAAAGCCAGGGCACTTCCGGCCGCTGTTTGCTCCCTGCTGTGGGCCCTCACCCGCTCCTTACAGAAGAACTGCCTTGCAAGCTACTTTGCTTTGTCCCTGGACTTTTGGCTTTGTTCTTTTCTCTCTCCTCATCTGTGGGGATCTAAGGCATGCCCCCACACTGCCTGGCTTCTCCCTATGTTGTTGGGTTTGTCTATTTGTTTCTCTATGTAGCCCTGGCTGTGCTGAAGTTTGTAGACCAGGCTGGCTCTGAACTCACAGTGATACACCTGCCTCTGCCTCCCTTCTTCCTATGTTTGGAATGTGACAGGTACAGTATTGTTTCTAACAACTGCAAGACTCTCAAAAAAAAAAAAAAAACAGCACTAGGAAAAGGGTGAGCCACATCTTTGGCTTGTTGGTTTGTTTGTGAGACAGGGTCTCTCTGTGTAGCCCTGGCTGTCCTGGAACTCTCTCTGTAGACCAGGCTGGCCTTGAACTCAGAGATCTGCCTGCCTCTGCCACCCGAGTACTGAGATTAAAATCATGTGCCACCATCCAGCTTTGGCCCACACCTGAGTTCCAGGCCAGCCTGGTCTGCAGAGTGAGTCCAGCACAGCCAAGGCTACACAGAGAAACCCTGTCGCAAAAAAACCAACCAACCAATCAACCACTCAATCAATCAATAAATGAAAATGAAGCCCACAGTAGCCTGAATGGTCCCTTCTCACTTCTGTTGACCGTGCCCCACCTTACCCTGTAATGGACTCCTCTTATGCTGTGAATTTACAGGAGCAAGATAACTGTGGCTCCCCATCACCTCAGAGCTACACAGGCTGAGGCAGGTGAATTCCTGACAACGCAAGGCTAGCCTGCTGTAAACACGCAGCTCTAAGCCCAGCAGACTACAGAGAGCGAGCCAGAGAGAGAACCCTGATCCAGGGAGTACACTGGGAGTGTGGTGGCCCCCACCTTTAATCCTGGGGAGGCTGAGGCAGGTGGATCTCTGTGAGTTCAACGCCAGCCTGGGCTACACAAAGAGACCCTGTCTGAAAAAAAAAAAAACAAAAAAAAAAACCAATACAAACAGAAAGGAAAGAAAGAGAAGAAAAGGGGAACAGGCCAGGGGAGGTGGGCTATGTGTGCCTCATCGATGAGACAGTTCAGTGGTTAGGGCAGATTCTGGCAAAGACTCGATCAGTTCCCAACACCCACAGTTTACAACCATCTCTAGCCAGTTCTGGGGGTTCTGACCTCTTAGGCAGCACTCATGTACACAAACGTGCAGGAAGAACACACATACACATAAATCTTGCTGGAGGCTTGCCTGGCACATGGAACCCCTGCTTCACCCTCAGGTCAGGGAAATAAGGTGTGGTGATCCACGCCTGTCGTGCTAGCGCGTGGGTGACAGACTGTGGGTTACTGGGGGATTTCCAGGCAAGCCTGAGCTTCATGAGACCCAATCTCAGAAGAACACAGTTTTTACACTCCATCTTGTGGGGGCTGAGGAGCCGCACAGAGCTTTTGCTGGCGAGGGGTCAGGATGGTACAGAGCTAAGAAACTTTTATTTTTTTTAATGTAGTTAGGACAAGAGGAGGGGTTGAGTGGCTTGCAGAGAAGTGACCTGAATGCTAGTATGCGCGCACACACACACACACACGCACGCACGCACGCACGCACGCACCCAAAAGGCACAGGAGGGAAAGAAAAACATCTTTCTGTGACACAAAGTCTTTATTGCCTAGACTAGCCTCAAACTCCCAACCCTCCGGCCTCGGTTGCTCAGGTGCTAGCAAGCTGAGTGAAGGGCAGTCTGGGGGCTGTGCTCTGCGCGCCCTAGAGCAGGCCCGCCGTGGGCACGCCGAACGCAGACGGGAGCTGCGGAAGGCGGGCTGAGCTCACATCCCACCGCTTCGCCACGGCGCGCGAGCCCCGCACCTGCCAGCTGCCGCACGCAGGGAGCAGCGACAGCTGCCCGGCTGCGCTCCGTTCATCCCCAGCGGTTCCTTCCTCCAAAACCCGGGCCTAAGCAGGAGACATCACACGCACCACACGGGCAGCGCCTGCCCCTTTAAGAGCCCCCCCCATGCGTCGCATAGTCCCGCCCCCCGAAGAGACGGAAGCGGGGGGCGGGGCCTCACGGCGCCGGGGCGGGGAGTGGGCGTGGCCACCCGCCCGCCAGGAAGGCCGGGCAGCAGGGTGGGGCTTGCGGGTGGCCGGGAGGCCACACTGGCCTGCGAGCTGGCTCACGCGGGCACGGGTGGTGGCTCGCGAGCCTCGCTTTCGGGGGTTCGATCCCCGCGACTCACTTGGCGACACGTGGTTGAAGGAGAAAACAACCCCAGGAAATCGTCCTCCGAGGTCCGCATGGGAGACGTGGAGCGCACCCGGCCACGCCCGCTCGCACTCGCCTCCGATTCCCCGAGCCCACATGGTGAAAGATGTAAAAACCGACGCCCACGAGCGCGCGTGTGTCCCCCAACACACGCGCGCTAAATAGAAAGACTGCGGAGGAGAGGCACTGAGCCAACGAAAACATCAGGCCCCTCCCCACGAAGCAGGGTTAGGCAGGGCTTCAGCCCCAGCACTCGGGAGGCAGAGGCAGGTGGGTCTCCGCGAGTTCGAGGCCAGCCTGGCCTACCAAGCGAGCCCAGGACACCCAGGGCTGCAGAGACCGTCTCGGAACTCGAACACTGATCTGGCTGTCACGGGGAGCGAATCTGCAAACGAGGCAGGAAGCCTCGGGGCCAGCGAGAGGGTACATGGCCCGATGGCTGGCTGGCGCCATGGCGCCTGCTGCCAAGCCCGGCTGGAGGCTCATCCCTGAGATCTCCGGGGTGGAGGGGGAGAAACCACTTTCCTGCCCTGCTCTCTGGCTTTCGCAGGGGCGCGCGCCCAGTGAATAAATAAACGTGATGTTTTCCTAGAGCCCGCGGAGGAGCAACGAGGCGGCGGAAAGGGCCGCTACCTCTTTAAGAGGCCAGGCTCCACCCGGAGTGGGCGTGGCGGCGGCCAGCGCCTTGAAAAATAACCACGGGGGCGGGGCTTGGCAACTGTCCCTTACGATTGGTCAGCTCCTCGGGCGGTGGCCCCGGGGTGCGCGTGCGCACGTCGCCTCCTCCCGCCTCTCGGACGCGGGGGCGTGGAGGGAGGAGCCGGCGCTCTCTTTCATTGGCTCTCGCGCAGGCCCCGCCCCCCAGTCGAGCGCCGTCACGTGACGCGACGGCTGGGGCCTCCCGGCGCGGGGGACGCTAGTGGCCAAGATGGCGGCAGAGCTGGTGGAGGCCAAAGTGAGTGAGCGGCGGTGGCTCGGGCCGGGGCGGGCGGCTGTCATAGTGCGGACGGCGTCTCGCAGTGAGCTGGGGGGGCGCGGTGCGGGCTGTGGCGGCGCGGGCTGGCGGTGGTGCGACCAGGACGCGGGCTGAGGCTGCGGGCGGGGGGCGGGGAGACCGGGGGCGGGGTCGCCTGCACCCTCTCGGGCTGTCCCCGCCGTCTGCTGTCACTCCATTACCGACCCGGGCTGGGGTCCCTACCGTGTAGGGACGCGGCTTCCCGGTGCAGGCACTGTCCTCTCCTCTGGGACAGCTCCACTGGGACGGAACTGGGGGTCCCCCTGTGGTCTCGCTAGCCCCAGGAATGCGGAGAGTGACTTCTCCATAGCGTTTCCAAGGCAACGAGTAGGACTCAGGCCCGGGTGCCCCCATCTTCTCTCCCCTCCAGGCCAGCATGGGGAAGGTCTGCAGGGATTGCCACAAGTCCTCTGATTCTCGGGGGCCTGTCTGACACCTCCCACTACCGACTAAGTCAGACTCAGCCCAACTCTGTGTGCCCAGGTTCATTTTGGAGACTCTGAGCCCTAGAGCCCCACTCCTCGCTTGCCAACCATGGGTTACCTCTTTACTTCACCCTCCAGTGATCCTGTCCCTCTCTGTACCCCATCTGTAACCTCTACATCCTGGTGAGTCATCTTGTGGGGTTTCGCTGCTCCCCGCCATAGCCCACCGGACCCACCTCGCTTTTTCTCCTCACAGGACATTGACCGAGTCCAGGGGAGGACTGTTCAGGCCTGTGCCCCCCCTCCCCCCATTTCTGCATTAAGGTGCCAGGGCTCTGTCCCTCCACCCAACTTGAGTCCCCATTAAAAGTTCCTGCGGCGAGCCTCAGCAGAGCCTGCATCCAGTGCGGTGCTGTCTCCCAGGCAGGCTGCAGCATAGTTGTTGCTCCTGACGTACTGCTGTACCTCAGTGCCCCTCAGGCATCTTTCCATTCTTAAGGGCCTGATTGCCCCCCCTCCCATTTCCTTGCTCTCTTGTTACATGGCTCTTCCCTCCACACTTGGACCCTTAGGGTCATTCTAGAGGGTCTTATTAAAAAGTACCCCTAAGTCAGCTGCAGTGGCGTACACCTGTAATCCCAGCACTGTGAGTTCGAGGCCATCCTGGTCTACAAAATGAGTCCGGGACAGTCAAGGCTAGACAGAGAAACACTGTCTCAAAAAAACCAAAATAAATACCCCTCTCTTCCCCCCTTCACTCACGCCATTTGGGAAATAGAGCTTTGAGAAGAGACATGTGAACTACACAGGTTTGAGGCGCAGTTTTGCTGCTTGAAGTCTTCCTCGTAGCATCCTGGAGCATTGTTGTGAGGCCAAGCCTCTGTCCCCTCCTCCCTCCTCAGCAGCGGGAACTGCGATCTCTTCTCTGCTGTCTTGATCCTTGAAATACAAGCTGATGACCTCTGCTTGACCCTCTGCTGGCTGGACCCCCACCCCCATCTCAGTTTTGTGAACTTGACCCTTCTGTGAAGCTCTGTAATGGTGAACCTTGGCAGCTCCAGAGGGGCTCCCGTCACAGCCACTCACAATGCCTTCAGTATGAGGGAGACACCTCCCGTTTTCCTCCAGTCTGTCACAACAGAGATTCTGTCTTTCGGGGTCCACTGGGGCTCATGGGAGGCAGTCCTGGTGTTTGTGGACCATCCTCCGGAATGGAGAAGTCCTTTCAGCAGGCCTGGGTGAAGTGTTCATCCTTCGCCCTGTGTCAGGGGTCACCTCAGCTTTCTGAAGAGCCTGGGCTAGTGACACAGTGCAGCCACCTCCATCTGAGTCGCTGCTTCCCATCATGCCCTAAGGTGAAGGCTCCAGAAGCCAGAAACTCGGCCCTGGTAGCCTGTGCCAGGGCGGGAAGTACACTCCGGGCTAGGATGGAGGCTTCTTCCTGTGCGTCTGTCTGCTGCCTGCTGTCCCTCGCAGGCTGTACAGGCCATGGCAGCTGCTGAGAAACCTGACCCAGACCATATGGCAGTGACCTGGCTGCTGGGATGCTTGCCAGGGTCCTGGGTGATGGACTCCTGGCCATCCACCAGGGCCACAAAGGCCCCTGGCTCTGGCTGGACCATCACAGGCCCCCACATCACTATACCCTCTCCTCAGGCTGAGGGATTTGGGCTTGTTCTGGTACGAACGTGCTAACAGTTGTTTGTTCCCCCATGAGGTAGGAAGTCAAGGCCACAGTAGAGGCACCTGAGGGCCTCACAGCCTTGGGTCCCTGGAGAGTTGGGGCTCCTCTGCAATCCTTCAGAGGTCTGGGAAATCTGGTAGCCACAAGGACAAACTCCAGCCCACCCTGTTGTATAGGATGGCCTTAGTCATGCTGTAGTACTGGCACCCCAAGTCCCAGGTGTTTTTAGGGCTCCCTGGGACAGTGCTATTGGTCTCATGGACCATGTGCCCCAAGTGACCAGGTAGACACCAAATGGGCTGGATCCGTGGGGCTCAGAGCCCTGGCTGGTCAGGTGCCCTTTCTGTGCCATGCAGTCTGCTTTGGGGCTTATGACCTGGGCCACTGCCCGCATCCTCTCCTGCCACTCAGGCTACACTTCTAGTCTTGTGGAGGCCCCCTTCTGCCTCCGCTTTTCACTCAGTCCAGTCCAGCCCCAGGACCCAACATAAGCGGCCCCAGGGCCCAACTGGCCTGTCTCTCAGGGGTGCTTGGTCCTTCCATCTGTGGAGACCTGCCATGCTCAGGTTTCATGAGTGCAGGCGGCCCGCCGAGGGCCCAGGTCACACTCTGGGATCCCCTGGGCTCTGACTGGTTTCATTGGCCCTGAAGGACCTGCGCATCCTCTTTGTCACAGTGTCCACCAGCTTGGTTTCAGGGGCCAGCTATCCCGTGTAGGCCCATTATGCTCCTGGGTACCCTGGTGTTGCCTGGGGTGCTCTCCGTGGTGCTTGGGGGCTTGCCTGAGACCAGCAGGCCATACCTAGTCTGGGACAGCGCTCATAGGAAGCAGGGTAAAGAGGTTCACTGGGCCTTCGGTCCTGACACGGTCTTCTCTGGTAAAGTGAAGCTCAAGCCGGCCCAGGAGGGCCGTCTAAGGAAGATGGCCGAGGACGTGCTGTGCGCCTAGCACTGCCAGGGCGGATGGATGGGGCAGTCCTGTCCCATGGATGCCCCCCAGCAGAAGAGGAGGCTGGGCCGGGGAGGCGGCTGCGGGGGAGGGGCGGCAGGTGGAGGCTCACGCCTGCCCCTGAGAGCTGCTGTGGTTGCCCTTTGCAGAACATGGTGATGAGCTTCCGCGTGTCAGACCTGCAGATGCTCCTGGGCTTCGTAGGCCGCAGCAAGAGCGGGCTGAAGCACGAACTGGTGACCAGGGCCCTGCAGCTGGTGCAGTTCGACTGCAGCCCCGAGCTGTTCAAGAAGATCAAAGAGCTGTACGAGACGCGCTATGCCAAGAAGAGCTCCGAGCCGGGCCCGCAGGCGCCGCGGCCCCTGGACCCCCTGGCGCTGCACGCCGTGCCCAGGACTCCCCTGTCGGCGACCACCGTGGACTACCCCGTGCTGTACGGGAAATACTTGAATGGACTGGGGCGCCTGCCCACCAAGGCCCTGAAGCCCGAGGTGCGCCTGGTGAAGCTGCCCTTCTTCAACATGCTGGACGAGTTGCTGAAGCCCACCGAACTGGGTGAGTGCCAGGCAGCGTCCGGGAGGCCCCCACAGCAGGCTCAGACCCTGGGCCCCGTGACCAGCCACCCTATACCTAGCAGCTTAAAATGGGCCGTGGGGAGGCCATGGCAGCTCATCCTGACCATCTCATCACTTGGGGGCTGAGGCAGGAGGATGGTGAGTTCTGGGCTAGGCTGGGCTACAAAGACTGCTTTTTGAAAGGAAAAAAAAAAACAATGGCTGGGAGTGTGTATCTTGCGCGTGAGCACAGACAGCACTTGCTGGCATGCACGACATCCCGGGTGCCGGCACAGGCCTCTCATCCCATCACCTAGGCGGCCGAGGCAACAGGATCGCCATGATTTTGAGGCTAGACTGGGCAAATAGACTGATTTACCTATTTATTCATGTATTTGTTTATTTTTGGCTTTTTGAAACAAGATTTCTCTGTGTAGCCTTGGCTGTCCTGGACTTGCTTTGTAGATCAGGCTGGCCTCGAACTTGCAGTGATCCACCTGCCTCTCCCTCCCTGAGTGCTGGGATCACAGGCTGGCACCACCACGCCAGGCTTAGGCTGAGTTTTAAAAGAAAAAAATCTGGGCATGGTGGCCAGTTCTGGTTATGCCAGCCTTTGGGGAGCAGATGCAGAGGAGCAGTTGAAGGTCATCCTCGGCTACAGAGGGAGTTGAAGGCCAGCCTGGGCTACATGAGACCCTAGCTCATAAAAAGAAAGGCAGATGTAAGTGGAGCTAGCTGTGCTCCAAGCTGTCGGGACCAGTGGTGGCGTGGATGGCCTCCCACACTGCGTGTGGCCGCGGGTGCCGCCCTGAGCTGTGCGCCTGAGCAGTGCTGACGGGCAGGAGGTGCTGGCTCTTTAATGGGCCACAGACAGGACCTGAGGCTTTCTCAGGTTCCCAGTGTCCCTAGAGACAGCTCGTCCCCCATTGTCTCTCCTGCCTAAACCCCAGAGGCCAGGCCTCGAGGAGAGCAGTTCCTCAGTCAGTCTGCATGGTGTTCAGGGCCCTCCCCACCTGTGGCCTGGTATTGGCAGAGACTTCCTTCCATCTCTGCCAGCCACCCTGGGTGGCACCCTTCTACAGTAGCACGGCCATGTCCCCCTTTTCCTGGGACTTGGTGGGGGGTGCTGTGTTTAAACTGGAGCTGCTAGAGGGTAGCCCATAGCAGCGCCTCTGCCCTCTGGTGTGATCTGAGACCCCACCCCCTCGGCTGAGGCTCCGCCCATCGGTGGCTCCATCCTCCCCTTTGACACCCATGGTGCTGCTGGGGGCTCTTGGCAGAGCCTTCTGGCCTGCCCACCCTGCCCTTCCTGTCATGCTCCAAGTGCCACAAGCCTGCCTCCCCCAGGTTTCCACAGCCCTTGGGATCCTTCAGGCCAAGCTGACTGGGTGCCATTTTGAGGAAGACCCCAGTGCCGGGAGGTTAGCCCCCTGGCCTCCCCGCCTGCATGGCAGGCTTCCTTCCTGCAGAGTAAGCCAGCCGTCACTCCGCCCCACAATGCATCACTGTGCCCCTAGCCCCCAGGGACCCTGGTCACCTGATCTCCGGGAGAGCATGCTCCCCTGTCTATACCAGCAGCTTGAACAAAGAGGTCTAGCCCGCCCTGCCTGCCTCTCCCCTAGGGCACCCCCTTCCCTGGGTCCCCACAGCCTGAAGGGCTACTGGGTCAGAACGCTGATCTACGCCTAAGGCCATGATTCCCTCAAGCTCCAAAACCAGGGTTTCACACGCCTGCCCCACCCTGGCCTTTCCCAGAACGAGCCCCATGAGGCCAGTTCACAGTGGCCAGCCTTGCCCGGACCAGAACAAGCCCCACGATCCTGTAGGCTTCCCCAGAAGCGCCAACCGCTCAGCCTGCGCCAGGCAGACAGACCCATAAATCACCTGAGAGAGCACCCGGAGGGGGAGGGCGGGAGGGAACCAGAGCAGCTGCAGACCTGGGCTACTGACAGCCGTGGAGGGAGGGCTCGTGACCAGAGAGGGCAAGGGACTCAGCCAAGGACACACAGCAACCCGAGCTCTTGGCCCCCAGGCTGTATCCTGCACCCCTGCTTGGGGGCTCTGTGTTGCTCTTTGCCCGTTCCCTGGCTAGGCAGGCCCAAGGTAGGTAACAGTCGCTGATCGCAGCAGAGCTGACTTAGGTCTGGGGACCTGGGGCCCAGACTCTCCTGTCTGCACCCAGGACACAAGTGACAGTGGAGTAAGACTCGGTAGGGAGGGAGGTGTCGCCTGGTCTGGAGCTGGGTGTCGTTCTGCCCCCTACCCCAGGGCTCCATGTCCTCTGAGCAGCTAGAGGGCTTCCTGAGAGAGGTGGTTTCATGTGGGGCTCCTGAGGATCGTCTGGGTGGAATGAGGCCATTGTGGGGCCTGGACCTGAGGACCTGGCCTGGGTGACCTGAGCTTCTGGTGTTTGGGATGTCAGCCTCTTGCTGTCCGCATAGGTCCATGCTCCCTGGTTGTAGTTCTTGTTTCATTGATGTAGTTTTTGAGGCAGGGCTCACAGTATTCCAGGCTGTCCCAGAACTCGTCTGGCCTCAGCCCTGTGGCGCTTGCTGTCTCAGAGAACACTGTGAGAAAGCCCGCCGGGGTCTTTCTTCAGGGCCTTTCCGTACTGCCCACCTCGACCTCCCGAACTGTTGACTGTCTCCAAGGACACCCCAGGGCCTGGCCCTGATGATGTCCACCATGGATCCCTTCCAACACTGCCCCCGCCTGCTGTTTCCTTTACCTTTTGCATGCTGCTTTCTGTGGCGTTTTGAGGCAGGGGCTCAGGTAGCCCAGGCTGGCCCAACCTGTTACATAGCCAAAAATGATCCTGTTTGACCCTCCCCACCGCTGGGCTGATAGATAGGTGCCTTGCTCTCTGATACCACAGCTGGGCCTGGATGGTTCAGGTCACAGATTTTGGGCAGGCCAATAGTGCAGGTAAGGGGATTGTCCTTGTCTGGTCCTGACCACCCTGGCACGGGCTGTGGTGCTCTGTACCTGGCTATAACCCCACCTGGCTGTGTGCCCCACAGTCATACTGGGGGGAGCCCTTTTCCTCAGTTCCTGTCTCCGTGCTGACCTGACTCAGGACCCAGCATGGCAGGCTAGGGTGTCTGTTGGGAACCTGGAGCCAACAGTAGCCAGGTGACATGCAAGCCCACCATGCTGTCCTGTGACAGCTCTCCGGAAGCATGCCGGCCCCCACCGCTGCCGGCCTTGGCCCTCCCCATGCTCAAGGCCCATATTAAACACCCCGGCCACCTTAGCCAGGCAGTGGTGGCGCACGCCTTTAAGCCCAGCACTCGGTAAACTGAGGCAGCACAGTTGAAGTTGAGCCTAACCCGGGCTTAATCATAGGACACGTTCAGCAGGATGTGGCAGCACAGGCCTGTAATTTCAGCACTCGGGAGGCGGGGCAGGTGGGCAGTTGGAGGCCAGCCTGGTCTACACACAGCAGCCCTGCTCCGCCTCTCCCCCACCGTCAACTACTTTCACTTTCTCTCTGGGCCACATGGGCTGTGGGTGGAGGCCCACACTCTGGACAGGGCAGGCACAGAGGCTGAGGAAGCCACAGATCACTTCTGCCATCGCCCCACACGCCTGAGGCAGGGCCAACCACCAAGGCCCAGCTGGGCAGGTAGAGGACTGGGAGAAGGGTGCTCAGGGCCCAGGCCTGCATATCCATGGGGTTCCCAGAAGTGCAGGTGGGCACTGCAGCCCCGTGGACATGCAGAGCAACCGAGACCAGCTCTGAGTACCCCTCAGGACCTTTATCACCTCCTCAGGCTCGGGCGGCCTTGCCAGGGGCTGCAGGGGCTGGACGCCCCTCCCCGACGGTTAGGGCTGCCCTGTGTAGCCCTGGCTGGGATTAAGGCATGCACTGCCTCCGCCTGCCTGTGGTCCTGCAGCTGTAATTGGGCCCTCGGGGATACCCTTGTACCAGACAGACATTCTAGAGGAACACTCTGGAGGAGGGAATGGGGTCAGAGAGTGCACAGCTGTCCCGTGTCCAGGAGGAGGATTGCAGGTTCAAGGCCAGGCTGGGCCCTAAAGTGAGCACCACAGTGGCCCTAGAGGCCGCAGGGCGGGGTGCTCTGGTAAGGCTGATGAGGCCTTGAATCCCCTGCTGGTGTGGCGGTGGTTCCTGCTGTCGGAAGATGGAGAAATCCGGCAGCCGTGGCAGAGGCCCGGCTTGGGGAGCTCTGTGGACCCCCTCAGCAGCACATGGTAGGACGGGGCTGCTGGGGTGTGGGCCTCCACAGCAGTGTGTCACCAGGCAGCCTGGACCCCACACAGAGCGCCCCTCCCTGGAGGGTAGGTGGGCCTCTTCCTCCTGCCCAGCCCCTCCACCTCCCGCTGCCCAGTCTGCCTCTGTTCCCACAGCCTGAGGTTTAGGAGGCTTCAGGCCAGGCCCACCCCGAAGCAGCCATTCTTGTGACAGCGTGTCGTGTGTCCTCATCTGCTGCCAGAGCCATGGCTGGGCAGAGGATGCCACCAGACAAGGCCGGTTGGTTTGGCAGAGCTGAGAGTAACTCAGGCCTGCTCCCCACAGCTGTGCCCTCAGCCCCACCCTAGAGCCCAGGTTGGCTTTGAACCCGAGATCCTTCTGCTTCAGCCTCTTGCTACTGGAGTGGCAGGCACGGCCTGTGCTGCCTCCTCTCTGTCATACTCGCGGTGGCCAATGCACAGCCCTGCTGTGTCACATGTCCAGTAGGGAACGCCTGGGCCTCGTGCATAGTAGACCCCCGGGGGTGCTGTGGGACCATGCTGGCTGGATGAAGAGGTGGCCCACAGACAGGGACGGCTCCCCTTCTGCCTTTGGGACGCCTGGCTTTAAAGGGACCTGGAACGGGCAGGGCCAGGACCTGTCCCCTGACTCCCCCGGGAAGAGGACTGTCCTCCATGCCTGCGGCCAGGGAGTGCAGCCAGGCTGCCTGACCCGCGTCTGTTCAGTCCCACAGAGCGCCGAGAAGCTGCAGGAGAGCCCATGCATCTTCGCACTGACCCCTCGGCAGGTGGAGATGATCCGCAACTCCAGGTGTGGCCACTACGAGCGCCCCAGTGCATGTGCCCGCCTGTGCCAGGCCGAGATACCCACAGGCTCGGGCTAGGGAGCTCCCCAGCTACGCGTGTCTGCAGATGGCACCCAGGTTCCCTTGGTTGCGATGGGTGTGGGTGAGCCTGCTGTGGGGGTGCCCGGCGAAGCCCCGTCCTCTTGGTGAAGCCCCGCTCGCTGGCAGCCACTCTGACATCTGCGTGCGCCATGCTCGAGTGGGCCTTCCTGCCCGCTGCCTGCCTGGCAGTCATGACCGTCCCTACCCTGTCAGGCGGGGGGTCCCAGGGCTCTGTGGCCACTTACCTGCTGGCCATGGGGAGGGCTCCTGGGTGGTGGACACGGTCCCTGACTCCTGCCTGTGCCCTGCCCACAGGGAGTTGCAGCCTGGAGTGAAAGCTGTGCAGGTGGTGCTGAGGTACGAGAACACGCCAGCCCCGCCTGCTCCCCTCCACACACACTCACGTGTGTCTGGCCCCACCGCCGCCGCTGTCACTGCTGGGGTTTGCACAGAACTCTCTTCTGCTGCGTGTCTCACAGCCCGTGTCCTGCATTCCCCCTCAGACCCTGTGTCCTGTGTCCCCCACAGCCCCATGTCCCACTGTCTCCCCAGGATCTGCTACTCGGACACCAGCTGTCCACAGGAGGACCAGTATCCGCCCAACATCGCCGTGAAGGTCAACCACAGCTACTGCTCAGTGCCGGTGAGCGAGCATGGCGGCCTGGGGAGCCCGGGGACGGGGACGGGTAAGGGGGCCCGCCGGGGCTGAGCGCAGCTCTGTCCACAGGGCTACTATCCCTCCAATAAGCCTGGGGTGGAACCCAAGAGGCCCTGCCGCCCCATCAACCTCACCCACCTCATGTATCTGTCCTCGGCCACTAACCGCATCACCGTCACCTGGGGCAACTACGGCAAGGTAAGCATCCGCCGCCCCACGCCCGCCCCGTCCACCCCGCACGCAGCATCCATCATCCCACGCCCGCCCTGTCCACACCACGCCCTGACTGCAGCCTCTGTCCACAGAGCTACTCCGTGGCTTTGTACCTAGTGCGGCAGCTCACCTCCTCAGACCTGCTGCAGAGGCTAAAGACAATCGGTGTGAAACACCCCGAGCTCTGCAAGGCCCTGGGTGAGTGCAGGGGCCCTGCCGGGCCTGCGGGGCCCCGCTCTAACAGGCCGTGCACCACCCACATGGTGCGGGGGTGGGCGAGGTCTGGGGCAAGGGTGCAGTCAGCCCGGGGTTCAGGGTTCTGCTCTGCGGGTTCTTGATCTTGATGTGGGACGTTAGGGTCCTGGTCCATGGGCCTCCTGCCTTCAGGTGGGGAGTGAGGTCAGGTGGGACTTAGGGAGGAAGGTGAAGCATGAGGCACAAAGGCAGGTTTTGTGTTGTAACTTGTGACAAGTGGATTTTTAGGACAGGGTCTCTGTACACCAGGCTAGCCTGGAACTCGGGTCCGGTGCCTCTGCCTCCCGAGTGCTGGGATTAAAGTCGAGCACCACCAGGCCCAGCTTGTAAAGGGTGTTCTTAGAGCGGACAGTGTGGTTAGGAAGGACACAGTGCCTGCAGCTGCCCAGAGAGCCCACAGTGCCCACCCACACGTGGCTGTGGGCCTCGCCAACGGCCACTTGTTTGCAGGCCAGGCCTCAGAGGTGTCCCAGCCTGCTGTTGCCCTCCCAGCTGGGGTTGGCCAGGCTGGAAGCTGGCTGTCCTGAGGGCGGTGACATCTGGCCCGGTGTCCCTCTGGCCAGAAGGTGGCCCAGTCTTGCTGGTTGTCATACCTGGGTAATCAAAGGCATGCTTTGCAGGCCGAGGCCACCAGCTCTGTTGTGATCAGATCTGTTGTGATCAGGCTGGGGACAGCAGAGTGCCCGCGCAGTGTCGCCTGAGCTGCGACGCTTTTCCAGCCGTGGTGCTCTCAGCTGAGTCCTTAAGGCTGTGATGCTGCCCAGTAACACTGGTATGGCCTCAGGGAAGGCCGAGCTCCTGGTTCTCTCCAGAAATGCCCGAAGGCCAGCAAAGCCCTAGCAGCGCAGGGGAGCCCACACAGGCCTTCACAGTTTGTGGGCCCCAGGCTGCTCGGAAGTGACTTCCCAAGCAGGCTGTCTGGAGCTGGAGGCCAGCTTGGGCCCCGTGAGCCCTTCGGCCTCCTTCAGCCAAGGGGGACCCTGCCCTCTGATGCTCCCTGTTTCCTCTGTCACCTCACACAGTCAAGGAGAAGCTTCGCCTGGACCCGGACAGCGAGATCGCCACGACTGGAGTGCGAGTGTCCCTTATCTGCCCGGTGAGTCCCAGGTGTCCCCAGCGCAGCGCGCTAGTGCATGGTCGTCTGGGCGGCATCCTCACGCCCCCCAACCCCCATCCTCCCGCAGCTGGTGAAGATGCGGCTGTCCGTGCCCTGCCGTGCAGAGACCTGCGCCCATCTGCAGTGCTTCGACGCCGTGTTCTACCTGCAGATGAACGAGAAGAAGCCCACGTGGACGTGCCCTGTGTGCGACAAGCCCGCAGCCTACAGCCAGCTCATCATCGATGGGTGAGCCTGAGCCCTCGGCCTGTGGCCGCCTTGCTGTGGGGAGGGAGGGGCGCTGTGTCCAAGCCTCAGGATGTTCCTAAGTGGCCACCTGAGGTCGTGACCTCTGTGGGGGAGGAGAGGGCAGGCAGGAACCTGTTCCACAGCACAGAGTAAGGGTTGCTCTTCCCCTTGGGACGGCTGAGCTCTCCTACTCCAGACACCGGCTCTGCCATCCTGCCAGGCACCAGCCACACTTCGGTGCCCCAGAGCCAGCACAAGCAGCCGAGGCCCCCAGGTCATTTGAGTCATCTTGGGGCGTGGCTGAGGGACCCTGCCATGCCAGCCGGGCCTACTTCCAGAGGGGTCTAGCCTTTGCTCTGCCAAGCGCCTGATGAGACTGAGGCCACGGGGGCTGCCAGTGGCCCAACGCCCCAGGCTCTGAGCTGGCCAGTGTTGACCTGGGTCCTTGCTGGATGGCGCTTCCCTGGCGCACTCTAGCTTTGGGTGGAGTGGAGCGGCCCCTGGGCCTGGGCACGTGGCCTGGGCTCAATTGCCCTCTGTTCTCAGCCCAGCTGCGTCCTTCCCGGCTCACCCTGCCCTCCCCCAAGGCTCCAAGCAGAGCAGCCTCCGTAGCCAGGGCTGGCAGGCTCGGCAGGTGCGCGTCCCCTTGGAGGCCTGTGCCCGCTGCGAGGCAGTGCCCGAGCCCAGCCCTGTCCACCCTGCCGCCCGCACCAGGCTGCTGTCAAAGATCCTGAGCGAGTGTGAGGACGCGGACGAGATCGAGTTCCTGGCGGAAGGTTCGTGGCGCCCGATCCGCGCGGAGAAGGAGCCGAGCTGCAGCCCGCAGGGCCCCATCCTGGTGCTCGGTGAGTCCCGCCCCCAGCAGCCGCCGGCCCGCCCGCCCGGCCCGCCGCTGACCCCGCCGCCCTGTCCCCGCAGGCACCCCGGACGTCAACGGGCTGGCTCCAGCCTCCGGCGTCCCCGGCGCGGGGGGCGGCCCGGGCGGCGCGGGCAGCGGGTCGGCTGCGCCCGGCGGCCTGGAGAACGGCAAGACGGGCGCCGACGTGGTGGACCTCACACTGGACAGCTCGTCGTCCTCGGAAGACGAGGACGAGGAGGAGGACGAGGAGGAGGACGACGACGAGGGACCCCGGCCGAAGCGCCGCTGCCCGTTCCAGAAGGGCCTGGTGCCCGCGTGCTGACGCCGCCGCGGGGCCCGGAGGGCGGGAGCCGCCGTCCGTCCCCGTCTGCCCCCGGCCCCTCCCCGGCCCCCGGCTCCCGTACCTCTGGACTCTCCCCTTGGGGGCATATAAAAAAGTAAAATGACAAAAAAAAAAAAAAGATGAAAAGTACAAAAACAAGAGCAGGTCAACACTCGGCAGGCGCCGCCCGCCCCAGCCGCCCGCAGGCGCAGGGCCGCGGACCCTGAGGGCGGCGCCCCCGCAGCGCCGCGCTGGCCGGCCGGGCCCGGCTGTTCGTGAGAAGCCATGGCGGGCCGCGGCCACAATGTGCAATAACGCGGGGCGCGGGCGTGGGGGGTGTCAATCCAGCCAGCTACCTCGGTAACTCCACTTCATTCAGGTTCACTTCCCACGGGGCGGCGGCCCGGGAGCCGCGCTCCCCGCCCCGGCCCCGCCCGACCGTCAGGAAGCAATACCGGGGCCGGTGGGGGCGGGCGGCCTGGCCGAGTCTCGCATGAACTCGCCGGGAGGCCGGGGCCCGGGCAGCCGCGCGGCACTCTTTTCTAATATTTGTATTCTAATTTAATTGTTTTTTAAAAATGCAAATAAAAAAAAAAAAGGAAGAGTAGCCGGTCCGGCACCCGCCTTTCTGTGGTTTCTCTGTAGACCAGGCTAGCCTGCCCGTCCTCCCTGGGAGCTGTGCGCGCGGCCGGGGCGAAGCAGCCCGAGGGGCCCCTTGGGCAGCCTCCGCTCGCCCGTAGCCACCCAGGACGCTGGGGCCGGGGATGGCCAGGCAGGACCTGCCCGCACAGAAGCTGAACTCAGACTCACTGCACGTGTGTAGAGGAGACTGGAGTATTACTCGGCCCCGAACAGGCGAGCGGCTCCGCCACGCCCGCCTTGAGGACGCTGTGCGGTGGAGGGCCCGGACGGCGCGGGCCGCCTGTGCTCGCGTGGGGCCGCGCCGAGCCTGCGGCCCACTGACCGCCAGGGTCCAGAGCGCCGATGACTCAGTGTGACGTCCTGAGCTGCGGCCTGGGGATGTCCAGGCCGCAGAGGTCAGGCCTGGCGGATTCCTGACGCCCGGGTCTGCAGAGCAGGCAGAGGATCCAAGGCCGCCGCCCCCACGCTCTGGACACACCCCGGGGATGCAGCTGACCAAGGGAGGACTGCTGTAGAGCCGACCCCGCGTCCACCCCATCCCCCGCGACAGGGCCCCAGGCCCACTTCCTCCTGGGGACAGGAAGTTGTCCACAGCCAGCTGAGGTTTCCGGCCCCCTAGGCCCGATAAGGTCACTGGAGCCCAGCTACGGACAGCACCTTGGCGGCCTCCTGGAGCCCAGGCGCAGCCCACCCAGGGCCTGCAGCGCTCTGACCCGGGCAGGCCTGGGCCAGGATTCTGAGGTCACCTCCTTTCCCAGGAACAGCCCGGGCACACCCCACCACCCACCCTGGGACCTGCTGGGTCCCGCTGTCAGGCCCCACCCACAGCGTGTGATACCCGCAGAGAATGCGTGTCCCCCATACCAACCCCCCAAAAAAGACAGAACACAGAGACCAGGCAAGGAGGCGTCGTAACAGGCTGCATTTAGTGGTTGGGTTTTTCTCTTTTATGTACAAGAAAAATGAATTCTATTTTTTCGGATTTTTCATAATCTTTTGTTGTTTTTATTACTTTTAAAGCTTGTCCCCCCACCCCCAAAAAGTGCATTTTTTTTTTAAATCAATTGATTTGTTTTCGTTTGCCTCCCACACTTTATAAAGATTCTTACATCCAGTCAGTGGAATGTCTGTTCTGTGCTCCGGACCCCCATGTGCCAGGCCTGGGCCCCCAAAATCCAAGGCACCTCGTTCTGGGCCTGGGGCGGGACTCCCCTCTGTCCCCTGGCCCCCTGTGCCCCCCACCAAGGTAAATCATTATGTATTTAGTGCGAGCTAGTTCTGAACTGAGATAATCGTGCCTGGGGTGAGGAGCCCCCACGACCCCTGACCCGTCCGGTGCCGGCCAGCCCGAACTCCGGGAAGGCCGTTTCCTCAGCTTAAATAACTTTTTTAAAATAAAACTGCAAATATAAATATCTTTCTTTCTCAAAAAATAGGATTTTGCTCTCTTTTTTTATTTTTTGTTGATTTTTGTCTTTTTTTGTTTTTTTTCTATTTTTCTTTCAGCCTGTGTCCCCCTACAACTCCCTGCTACTTGCACTGTCGATTCCCTGAACAACCAGCCTGGGGGCCACCTGTACTTCAAGGCTGCCGTTGCGCCTGCCACAACAGCAGCATCCCCTGGCGAGCACCCTCAGGTCAGCTGTGCTGCAACAGGGCGACGGCCACTCAGGGGGGCACTCCTGAGTGGCCACCCCAGGGCACCCACTTTGGTTCTGCCCACTTGAGCCCAGCTTGGCAGGGCCAGGTCTGCCGTTTACATTCATTGGTTTCTGTATATATAGATTTTTTTCATTTTTATTATTTTTTGCCTTTTTATTTTATTTTTTTCTTAATCTCGAAAGGCCAGTAGGGGTAGGAAGGCAAAGAGCAGCAACTACTCGGCAGGGGTGGCCTTGCTCAGGTCACAGGCTGGGGACAGGTACAGGCCTGTCCCCTCCCCAGCCTGGGGTCCCCGGAACCCTGCAGGCTGGGCCCTTCTCTCACTGAGTCACACACTCACACACACTCAAATTCACCATAATGGAAGTAACAAATTTCTGTTTTCTTTTCTTTTTTTGTTGTTTTTTTTTTTTTCTTTTTGTTGTTGGTACCAGGCAGTTAAAAAAAAAAAAAAAAAAAAAGGAAAAAAGAAAACAAAAACACACACAAAAATAAACCCCAAACAACCAAAGGAAACCTTCCTGCAGAGCCCTCCACTCTAACCTCTAGTGAATTCCACAATTCTCTTTGGCAACTTTTATCACGGCCTTAATTTAAAGAATAAAAATTTGTAAAAATCGATCCACATTCTATATACAGTATGTGATTGCAGTACACGGGGGCGGGGTGGGCCTGGGGGCGGGGGCCGTCCCGGCGCTGGGCCCATGCGGTGGCTGCGGCCCCCGGGACGGGCTGGCGGTTAAGGCAAGGTGAGTGTGGGCGGGCAGAAGCGGAGCGGAGCCAGGGGGGGTGGCAAGGGTTTAGTGCAATTGCCGAGGGTTTGCGCTGTCACTGGCGGGTTCGGGGCCCCCACCACAGTCCCCAAGGGCTCCACCCGCCCCGAGTCTACGGCCGGTGGCCAGGACGACTGTGATTGAAGTTAGTTTTATTGCGAGGGTGGAGGGGGCTGACCTCTCTGGGAACGGGGCGGGAGGGCGCAGCTCGGCCCCCTCGGCAGTTCCGGGGCGGCTCACTGCGGGAGTGGGGTGCGACGGGGTGCCAGCACCACCCCACCCCGGGCCTACCCACTCTGCGGCCCCAAGGGGACCCTGAGACATCCGAGGGAAGTCGTGGGGTGGGGTGGGGGTGGGGGTGGGAGGGAGGCCCCTCCGCTAGGGACTGGGAAGCAGCCTTCTTAACGAGCATCCCTTTACACCAAAGAGAGACGAGTCAGCGCCGGCCGGGCCGCCCGGCGGTGCCCACCGCGAGGGCCCGGGGGGGGGGGCAGGGTGCGCATCAGCAGGGTCCCACGCTCAGCTCCACCTTGGCCACAGGGGTGGGAGTTGCGGGCGCCCTGGCATCCGGCCGCCACGTCCCCCAACCCCGGCCCCCGGCCCCCGTCCGTGGCCTGTGGCCCGGTGAAGACCGGGCCTTTTGGGGGGAAGCCGGAGTTTGGGGCGTGGGTGGGTGGGGGGTGTCAGGTGCTGGGCCCTGGGTTACAGTCAGTGCCTTTGAGTAAAAAGAAGGGGTGCCTAGGGGGACCATCAAGTGGGGAGAGGGGAACCGGGCGGGGGACGGGGTCTGGCTGGCCACCGTGGCCAGCCCTCTCTCGGGGACATCCCTGAGCTGGGAAGGACAGGACAGGCGGCCTGCGGCTCCCAGGCCTGTGGTCTCCAAACAGACACAGAAGAGGAAAGAAAATAGCGCGGGGCGGGGCTGGCAAACACGGGGAGGCCTGCAGCAGGCCGCAAAAAGCGGACCCCAGGTCGCTTCCCGTGGATCCCTGGACACCCGGCCCTCAGCCTCGGGGACGCAAGTGGATTCTACCGGAGCAATGGGTTGGGTTTCTTTTATTTTATACAAAAATAAATTGACTTAGTTACTTCCCACTGCTCTCGCGCTCCTCTCTCGCTCTCTCTCCAATTTTTCATAGAAGCTGGGTGCAACTTGTAAACATTTCTTAAGTTAAGAATGAAAAGTACCCGTTCAGTTACAAAGTGCCAAGATCCCCCGGGGCTGTCGCCGCTTTTGCTGATATTTCTTAAGGTTTTGCTTTAGGTTCTGCCTTTGTGTTTACTAAATTCTTGGGGTTTTATTGCTGTTTTGTGACGTTAAGCTGTGGCCTCTCTCACTCCCTCTGTCCCTGCCTGAGTCCTGGGGTTCCCTCTGATCTTGGCTACATCCCCCCCAAACTGCTGCCTGCTCCTCTGAGGAAGAATATTTTATATATATCTCTCTATATATATCTCTATATAAACTGTCTTTAAGGAGGAAAAGGGGAAAGATCTAAAAAGTGCTTTAAAAAGTGGGGCGTGGGTGAAGACAAATTTTCAATCTCTGAACATGGGGTGGGGTCTGGGCAAGCAGAGATGGGAAGGATGGGGGGTCACCCTGGACAGGGGCCTCGAGGACCCCGCCAGGTGTAAGTGCCATGAAGGAGGGTGGTGGGGACCCCAGCGTCCCCCCCAAATCCCCGCTCCGGCCACCCAGACTGGGGAATAAATAATTTGTATGTCAGCGGTGGCCAGGGTGGGTGTGCGGAGGTGTGAGGCCACAGGCGGGGCGGGAGGCCGGGGGACTCCCCCCTCTTTAGTAAGTGCCCTGAGGAAGGAGGGTGGGGAGCCGGGGACCATTTTAACGTCCACTCACAGTGGACAGAGCATTTAAGGTCTGTCTGAGACCCCTGAAACCAACCAGCAAGGAGCCGGGCGCCTGTCCTGGGGTCCCCGTCACCCTCGCCTTAGCCTGGAGCAGGCAGGGCCCCCGGGGCGGAACCCTGCGGCGGACGGGGCGAGGGGCGCGGGGGCGGGGGGGGGGGGCCGTGTCCTAAGGATCTGAGAAAGGCAGGCGCCGCGGCCGGGGATTTACACGCACACTCGTCCGCGCATGGATGGAGGCTCGGGGCAGAGAACTGCTTGCTGAGGTGCTGGGGCGGGGGGTGGTTGCTCTCTGTCTCGCTTTTAGGTTCTGTCTGTTTGTCTGTTTGTTTTGTTTTTGGTTGGTTTGGTTGGTTTTTTAGTGCGAGTCAGGTGGCGAAGTTACCCTCGGCGGGGGCCGCGGGGCCGCCCGCGCCCTCGTCGCCGCCGCTGCCCGCTACATTCAGGCGGCCCGAGCTGTCGGGGCTGGCCCCGTCCTCGTCCTCCTCCTCGTCCTTAAAGTGCTTCTCCTGGCCGTTGCGCGGGCCGTCAGGGGGCGCGGGGAGCGCGGGGGCGCCGGCCGGGCCATCGGGGGGCACGCCCCGCACGCGGGGCTTGCGGCCGCGGCGCGAGGGGACCCCGTTGCAGCCGTCCTTCTTGAGGTGCCTGTGCAGGTGGTCGGAGCGCA